AAACTGCGGCACGGCACTGTTTTACAGGGTGTTTCAGCTAAACTTGTGGCAAGACTTAGAAAACGCTAATGCACGCTACGCACGTCGAATTAATGCAGTTTTATTTGCAGTCCTATTGAGCAAGTCCAGATGTTTTTCGTGACATGGGCTAATTAGGGGCAAATTAATTATCTAATGTTTTAATATCTTGAACTGAGTGCAAAACCTCCAATACAAAGGTTGCAGAGCATGTGGACATGCTCTGCAACCTTTGTACATCCCATCATGTGGCTTCCATCGAGGCAACCTTTGTCTGTCTAATTTTTTCGAGGTGCAGGACTTTAAAAAATCCCAGCATGACAAGTGTCACTAACACTGCAGTTTGCTAGCAAGTAGTCATGTGGAACTTCTAAAAATCTTGTGCACTATATTTGAAGCTTGAAAGCCTCGCGTTTGAGGCCAACTCAGGTTCCATGGTGCTTAAACGCCCGAAACCAGGGTTCTGGGAATACTCAAAACTTTCAAGTATTACAGCGAAAAATGCTATATTCGATTCGAAACTCGAATCGAATAAGGCTGCTCAGCAAACTCAAACGTTTTGGAAGTTTTTTGAAGTTCAATATGCTGCAAAACATACCTTAAAGCACAAAAGAAAGAAAAAAACGAAAATAGTATGCATGCGTTGCTTGTCGTCTTTTGCATGTTTTTTCCTTTTCGTTGAAGATGGCTTGTGCGCAAACCAACATGTTGTGCGACGCATCGAGCAATTTCGTAATGCACCCATTTTTAAAGGGGCCCTGCAATTATGTTTAAGCGTCTACCTTTTTTGCAGTTTTCACGTCCTTCGGGGTTCGGGCAAGCCAGCGGGCACGGAGAGAGTAACTAAATATCAGTGCATCGTATTTTAACCAGACGACGCGGAAACCTCTTCCACCTACAGGGGCGACCCACGGTACCGAAAGCGCGCAATATGTGACATCTTTGGTCCTGGGCTTACTACTGGTCAGAGCCGCTAAAAGCTTCTTTTTAGTCGAAATACAAAATATAAGTGGCACAAACCGTTTCAACTATTTATAAAAGTAGTTTTTGTTCAGTATTTTAGATCAGAAAAGAAACAAATGCAGTTTATAAAGTAAAGAAACAAGAAATGACCCATCGACATACCCGCCACCAAGCGGTGGAAAAGGCGGAGCATACTAGAAAAGAGTAGTGGGATCAGGCACAGACACGGAAAGGTCCCGGATGTACGCGGCGGCGCTGCGGTCGTATGGACAGGAGGATCTGACCGGCTCTGAGCGTTCCGAAGGCCTTCGGAGAGAAGCTTTGTCTTGCGGTTTGGCCTTTTGGCGGTATGGCAGCGCGAAGTGGCTCCCGTTCTGATTTGATCTTTACCCCGTGTTTGCTGTCATTTGTGGCCAATGAAATGTCATGCCGAATTAGTGTTTAATCGCGCAGCAAATGCAATGCGAACCGCCCTGGCTGCCTGCTGCATACAGCCTATCCAGAACATGCTTTAGTGGCGCCCTCTCGCACCGTCGACACGGAGTGCAGCAGCCGTGAGCGCTCGCTGAGCTCACTACCCCTCTTCTAATTCACGGCTACTCAAGCAACCAAGGACGTCATGAGGGAGGTTATTTTTGCTTGTTTTTGTAATTTTAATTTGCCTATAACTTTTAAAATAATGTGAAATTCGAGCAAAGAAAAGTTTCAATATGTTACTACGTTCAGTGCACTCAGGTTTGGTGCAAATTAAAGACCAGTAAAAAAGTCCTTGCAGGGCCCCTTTAATGCGCATTCAACGCTGCAGACTGCAGGTGTGAGGGCTAGAAGCCTGAAATTTTATCTAGAATGCGTTGTGCGTCGTGGTTCTGCCATGGACGAATTTTCTTGGAAAGGGAAGTGTCCATTATAATGATACATGACTGTATTGAAACAAGAGTAATTGCAAAGGCGACCTAGTGAACGATCATGGTCAGCGGCGTAGACTTTCCATTTTCCCGGAGGGGGCAGGCTGAGAAGTTCTCCAAAGGGGGGGGGGGGGCATTACTTTTTCACCAGAACTGGAGATTGAAGCTGTTATTTTGTTTACCTGCCACTACTAGAAGCTCGTTACATGGCATGTAAACAGCGTCTTGGTAAGGATCATGGCCCAGGCCCGGGGGGGGGGGGCTCTGCTCCCCCCCCCCCCCCCCTTCCTTGGATCTCACCAGGAGGGGCACGAGCCCCTATGCCCCCACGAAGTCTACGCCTATGATCATGGTAGAGAGCCCTTCAGACCTTCCTATGTTCGTCCCTTTTTTGTGTTCCCTAGTCTAAAGGGTTGTTTACCATAACTGTATTGCAGGGCACAATCTAATCGCTTTGCTTTGAAATTATTCAATTCGATTCGAAATTATTTGTACTACAAAACCATTCGCTTCAAACTGAAAAATCACTATTCGCATATCCCTACTGGGAACCCACTACGAATTCGCTTGTTACACGTATCGATACCGCAGACTGCGTGATTCATGTGATTCCCACCGGACATCACGCAATAGTATCCGATGGATGTTTTTCGAGTAACAAGCGCCGTCTGGGGAGTTGTCTGCGAACTACAATAGGAGAGCAGCCCAACATGCCTCCGCCCGTCAAAACACATTGGTAGCGTGCCGTTCTATTGATTTTCAGTGTTTTTTTATACTCCATACTACCGACACTAAAAAACAAAGCGTCAAAATAGACTAAATATGCGCGAAGATAGAGGCTGAAGGTGGTGTTGTCACCATTTTCGCAGGGCACCGCGTCATGGTGTCCTGCGAAAATAGAGACAGCCGGAGTATACGCATATGCAGAAGCTTACTGGAAAAAGGTCCATTGTAAGTATCACGCTACCAGGCTAGGTGGTGCAAGCTACCGCCTGTCCTAATGGGTACAGCCGTTGCAATCCCATCCATCCATTCAGACGGCTGAAGCGTCGTCACTGAAGCGTAGCTTGTCTAGTGATTCTACATATCATGCCATATACGCCCATGTAAGCTCGAGCCAGAGCACGTTGATTCAGGGATTGTGCTCCCGTTTTACAGTTCCAAAGGAACAAGGTCAATGCTTATGAGTCTTTCTATTATGGTAAAAAGCAATGATTATGTAGCTGCATTACGAGGAAAATGGGAAAGCAGTAGAATGCAAACTTGTGCAGGGGCAGGAAGGTCGGAGTCGGTTGACACGGTGGCTGCGACATGCCGACCGTGTGCTCGGCTGTGAATGCTGGTGGTTGCTAAAACCACCAACAGAGTTAGAACGGCAGAGAGGAGCTTCGGTTGTCCCGCCCCCAGTGTGAGCTTTCGACATTCGACAATGCTTCTGTGTTGTTGCCAAAGCATGGCGGAGGAAATGGAGCGTGTACTGGAGATTGTTTGAAAGACACACCCTGTTATCCTCATTCTGTCTCATTCGGTCGCACGCTGCAAGCCAGTCATGCAACCGCTCCGAGCCGCGAGCATGAATGCGCCTTTTGGCAGAGGAGGGACTTATCTTTTTCCAGTCTTTAAGACCGACGACTACACGGAGAGAATTTCCGGGACTACTTTGCACTTTGTGCACTCTGCACTTTGTTGTTGGACCAAACCAAACGAGAGGTTCTCATTCTGCCTCATTCAAGCATTTGCACAAGCGATTGCGTGCCAGGAGTGAGCAGCACCCAAGACTTTACGCGCGTTTGAGTCTGTCGTCTCCAGCTGCACTTTGCATCTTTTGGAAGATGATTCGTTGCCAACTGCAATAAACAATCTCGAGGAAAAAGGTAACTAAATGGTGGGTTCAGCACTAGTAGGGGATGACACCGAGCTTAGGAGCCACTGGCAAATTAGTCTATAGAAAGCAAGCTTTGACTCTCAAACACGCTTCTTAAAGAGATGGTGACCGAAATTTAATTTCAGAAAACAATGCAGGAGCTGCAGGCGGGACGCTACGACCCCTACAACACTACTCGCAAAGAGATATCTCGAATGGACGGCCGTATTTTTGGAAAAAGAGGTCAAGATTGAATGAGGCCGACGTGGTGCGTGACGTCAAGATATCTTGTTTCCTCCTCCCTTCCCTTTGCCCCCTCAAGGCGGCGACGCGGAGCAGACACGAGGCCGTTCCCTCTCCTTCGCGGAGAAACAAGACGTAAACATATCTGTCAAATGCGCCTCCTTTTTTTAAATATATGGTCATCCGTTCGAGATATCGCTGTACGAGTGATGTTTTGGAGTTTGTAGCATCCCGTTGCACACTTTTGCCGCCGTGTTTTGTTGAATCCAGATTTCGGTTCAACGTCCCTTTAATGCAGAGAACAAGCAACTCTCATCAGCACTCTGCAGGCAACAGTGCCCCTCTTAGCACTGTTCTGTTTCGCTGGCACCCTCTTATGGTTTCCACCCGCGACGTCACAACCAGGATTTGCCTCGACGTGGCGTCAGTTGTTAGCTTGGCCACTTACCATCAGTTGTGATGGCAAGTTCGAAGGTGCATTTGAAGGAGCACAGTGGAAGCTAGGCGCCATCGTATTCTTCAACAAACACCGTCAAAGTTGACAGCCTGACAATGCTCTTATGCCCGTGGTTTCGCCAATGGTGGAGAGTGACCACGGCGCCACTGCTGGTCGCGCGCATCACTAATAAAGGCGTCACCAGTTCACCCAACACAGCAGGTGGAAACAAATGTGCAATGTGTGGCGATCCCCCTTGGTGGATTTGCAGCACTTTTGGGGCGCTCTCTTGTTGCTATCTTTGGCGTGCAATCGCGCTCGCATCTACCGCATGAAAGGTGCGAGCACGTAACGCTTTTGACTCGCCCCAAGTCCATCAAGAGTTCCACATTGGTGTGCAACGCTGTCAAAGCCGCAAGCACGAGCCTGCGTCTCGACTTGGGGTTTGATTTTCACGCGTTCTCGCGCAGATGAGACGCTCGCGCCAGTAGATTTGACAGCGTTGTAGGCTATGAAACGGAGTATGGGAGTAGGCGGGCTGTGAAATCGAGCGGCAACGCTGAGCGCCTACCTCATGATGACGGCGGGGTCGTCTCTTCGCTCCAGGTCGGAAGAGCTCCCTCAGGAGTGGACCAAGGTCGATCTGGAAGGTCGGCAGTGCTGCCGCAGGGCCGACGGAGACCGACCGTCGCGCACACGCGGGCAGAAGCCACTCGGGCGGCACGACTCCGGGCGAGCGCCGTGTGGCTCTTGCGCGCAGGGCCGCATACCTCGAATGCCGAGGCCTCCTCTACACCTGCACCGACAATGCGACGCCGTCAGGGAAGCGACGGAAGGTGTCCGCAGTCGAGATGTGCGGGGGAAAGCCCCTGAAAGCTTGGGGGCCAGCGCTATCGCACAAACCTCTTAGTGCCGCGGGCTTGGAGTGAGTGAGCTTTCCATCCCCCCGATAAGTGGACTCTCAGTTGTGGCTTCTTACAGCGCGCACTCTCCTCTCTTCTGCGCCGCGAGTCGACGCTCCGAGTGACGACGAGCCGTGTAGTTGTTGCTCAATCGTAGTGCCGGAAAGTGTAGCCGACGTAAAGAACCGTGAAAACCAAGGTAAAAGAAAGGATGGAGCAAATACCATAATGACAGGGAACTGGATTGGATTGGATTGATCGGTTGTTGGCTAGCAGCGTAGTAGAGTGGCTGTGCTAGTGGCGGGGACCGGCGGGGACGTTCAAGGAAAACGCGAAGACAGAAAAGGATGAGGAATGTGTCTAACTCGGGCAACTCAGCTACAAAGTTTATTTTTTACTACACGCCTACACGCCCATACACGCCTTCATACCACATCTCCAACACCGTCACCAGAAGCAACAGCACCCCGCGACAAGCGGTGCTTCTGGTGATTACGGCCATATCCAGAATATCACAAAAAAAAAGAAAAGAATTAGGGCTTTTTTACTGCAAAAATAAACTAGGCATCGCCGAACACTCATTCTCCGCCAAAAGGTAGCGCTAGAGGTCACAACCAGCAGATGCCAAAGTCTCAGCCCGATCCGATACCGTATTCAAAAGTTATGTGATTTTCTGAAAATTTCAATGGGAAAATGGAGCCCATTTTTGCCAGTTTTCGGTTTCTTGTGCCATAGAGCCCCACGCGTTCGAAAACTCTGTCGGCCGCCATTTTCCCATACGCCTCGCAAGTGGGCTCATTTTCGTCTTCTGCACATGAGAAAGGAAGTAGTGGTTACGTCAGAACGCCGAGCCCTGATTGGCTGATCGCGACCCCCTATCTGAGCGTCGTCTGCACCTTTGCAACATAGTCTGATCGCAACTTCGTCTGCGTCTGTCTTACCTTTCATGCGACTTTCGGAAGCGCAGGTCTTTTCGAGCGAGCTCGACTTCGCCTTCCAGAGAGGGCAGACGAAATCACTCGAGGGGTACGTTGCTTTTGTCTAACAACTAGCAGACGCGCATCAAGGAGAGAAGTCAAAGGACTCACTGGCGAGGTGTCCCGAGGCGCCAAGGTTTGTTTGCTAAGAACCGAGAGTGAGCGTCCGCAAGTTCCCTCCCAAATACTTTTTCCCTTCTTTTGTGTGCAGCGAGACTCCTCACTCTTTAACGGCATCGGCAGGTTGGCGCAGTTATTGTTGTCTGCTTTACGTCTGCTAGTCAAAGCGATGGCTGCTTTACCTTTCCTGCGTGTCTGTCGGAGATTCACCGCCTTTTCACCGGCGAGAGTCACCGCTGCCTCGGAAAACAAGGAGATGACGAGGAAGAGATTGACCTCTTAATCTAAAATTGAGGTCAGCGATCAAAGTATCATACGGGAAGGGTTCACAAGGGTGGCGCGGGCATATTCCGTTCAGCACGCCAGCCGGTCGTGGGCAGACGATATTCGCCGAGGACCGTCAGAGAACCCCTGAGCCAAGTCGGAGTGCCTGCTAGGTCTATCTGCCGAGCTCGCTTGGTCGGGGTCAGTGGAATCGTGGCCGTTGGAGCATTTCCCGGGTGTTGTGGATCCAGCGTTCTTGTGCGTTGTGGTTTATTTCAAGTACTTTTTACTTTTTTTTTTGCTGCTTGTAGTCGGGACATGTCTAGCACATACAAAAATAAACGTCCGTTGTTTGTCGCGACCAAGTAATTGAGCGACGCTGTCGGCCATGCTGATTTGATCATAAGAAGTGCGTAAGGCAGCTTCGGAGCTGTCCTAGGATTCCGTCGTAACCTGCGCAAAACTTACGATAATTTTGTTTTGTGAATACGAATTTGTTCTCACGTTTTGTCTTAGGCACATTTTTGGCGTAAGATCATTTCGTGAATCTGGCCTCTGCACTTTCGAAAGCGGCAGGAAAGGTAAAACAGACGCAAACGACGTTGCAAAGGAGCAGACAACGCTCAGATAGGGGGTCGCGATCAGCCAATTAGGGCTCGGCGTTCTGATGTCACCGCTACCCCCTGCGCAAGAGGCAGACAAACTTGCCCTCCGCATTGCAATTTTCAGAAATCACTTATAACTTTTGATTCAAGATCGGGCTGAAACTTTGGCATCTGGTTGTGACCTCTAGCCCTACATTTTGGCGGAGAATGAGCGTTTGGCGAGGTAACCGGACAAAAGCTCACCAGCCAGGAGCTCACCGGACAAAAGCTCACCAGTCTTTTCACACACCCGGACAAAAGCTCACCTAATTTTTTTACTTTGTGTTTGCTACCCGGGTGAAACACGGGCCGGGATAAAGTGCGGATGCGATAGAAATTGCACAATTTTTAGAAGAACTGGGGGGCTATATGTTGCACGTTTTGGACTCCCAGGCGACTGGGGAGAAGGAAGTGACGTCAACAACGCTCTTTAGATGTTGATTGGTGGAGTCACTGATGACGCAATGCGTGGTGCTGCTAAGATACGTTCATTCACACCTACATCACTTCCTTCACCCTAGTCGCCAGGGAGTCCAAAACGTGCAACACCTGGTACCACCTTATCCCATGCAAAGGTGTCGACAGATAAGCCATAACAGACGGAAGAGGAACGATTTGGGACCAAAAAAGCGAAGTCCCGTACCCTTCGGTAACCGCGCTTTTTCATTGTGCTTATATGTCAAGCTAGACATGCTTATAATGGTTAGGCACAATGTCTCATTACTAATGCATAAGTTTTCTTAAGGTTCAGGGTAATGTTTGAAGTGAATGGCTAAGAAAATTAGATTGTTTCCGTCATTTTACGTCGTAAATGTATTTGAAATCAATATTATTATCTCAGTGTGATGTGAAAGGGAAACTGAAGCAAAACTGTTAGATACAAACCATTGAGTTGCGAATTGGGCCTCTTGTACAAGTACGAGGCAGATATTACTAATTTAGAAAGCTGTGCGGGATTTTGGATAGGCTGGTGTTGTTTCCACCACAGCTTGTGCCCGAAGAACTAACCTACATTAGGGAAAAGTCTACCCGTGACATCGGTGACCTGCTGTACTACTTTGATTGCACGTATGTCAACGGCCCCTTCCGTTATGCTTCTGCTCCTTCTGCGTCGGCACCCAAAGCGAATTCGCCCCTTTGCCTGACTTTGCGCCGACGACGACCGAAGTTTCCCCTGGAGCGGTGGAATATGTACGATGCCACTCTCCAAGATAAAGACCGGACGAGCAACACCTACGAAGGATGGAATAACGGGTTCCAGAAGCTTGTCGGCCACGCCCATCTAAGCGTCTGGCGGCCGATTGAGTGCCTACAGAAAAATCAGGCACTCGTTGCCACGGCACTGACACAAGCTTGGAGAGGCGAGCCCCCAGTGAAGCGGGTGTGAAAAACAACTTTGCACCTGCAGAATCGCCTGAAAAAATATTTGCGAGGAGTTCCAAGTACATTGAGATCTGCCAAGACTGCTGGAGCTAGTGGTGGACTTCATTCGCCTCTAACCAATCGATAAACTTGTTTCTACTCTAATCAACAAACCATGCGCCTGTCAGATTAAATTTATCGTTGCATTTTAGTGTCGCATGCATGCACCTAAGTTGTCCGCACTCGTGTTAAGACCAACATGAAATTTTATTCTAAAGAGCTTTCGTCCGGCTCTGTGAAAAAATGCATGAGCGTTTGTCCGGTGAGCTTCTGTCCGGTGAGCTTTTGTCCGGGATTCGTTTGGCGATGCCTAGCTTATTTCTGCAGTAAAGCGTGTAATTTTTTTCTTTTTGTGACACCCTGTATGTTATGGCGTAGGAGATGTGGCTGAGGTTGACATCAGTAAAAATACCGTAAGGGTGCAGCTTAACCTGAAACTGGGGTAAAGAAGAAACATCAAAACTTAGAAGAGACAAATAATTGACAGGACGAAGTCTCAAAAAATATTTTCTGTCTCTTCTAAGTTTTGATGTTTCTTCTCCACCCTTGTCTCAGGTTAATACAATGAGGTTGAGATGCTGCCTCCTCCTGTCTTCCTTTGCGTTTTCCGTTTTCCTACCCCAGTCTCAGAATTACCGTCTTTAACACCATGGTCAGCCCGTTCAACTGGTTTAACTTGCACCATATGCAGCTCGCCTGCACTTTTTTCGTTAATCGTGCAGCCGCTGCAGTGTTGCAGGAAAGATCCTTTAACTAACCTAAAGGAGCTAAAGTTCGGACATTTAGTGATCAGAGTAATCAAGGGTGTATACCATATGCGGTTACAGTAAACGGACACTACAGCACGGGATAGCAGGTTTAAGGCGCACATAACTTGCATTACTATACAAAAAATATTACACTTAACACATAATTATTACCTGTTTTGTTAATTGTCATAATTTATGTTTCATTAATTTTAGGGCACACATACAATCTGATTTCGTTAAGAATTTCTAGACACAATGGTCCCGCATTTCAAACGCTGTCAACGGGTAGTTTTGGTATGGTGCCTGGAACACGTCTTCGACTGGTGTGATTACTGCTTCTATGGTACCTGGAGTGCGTCTCCACTGGTGTGTTTAGCATCCTATGCTGCCCATACATCAAAAGTGGACCCCAAAGTGGCAACAAATGGCATCACAGAAGCCAAAGCTGTGTCATGCTGTTGGTTGTCGTTAGCATTTCTGACCAACCACCAGGATAGCGACATGCAACAGCATGACATTTCAGCTTCTGCGCGTGACATCATTTGTTGCCACTTCGGGGCCACTTTTGATGTATGGGCAGCATACGACGTCAAACGCACCAGTCGAAGACGTGCTCCAGGCACTATAGTTTCGGTTTCGCCGAGTTGTGCGTCTGTCACATGATTTTTCGTCTGCTATCGTCTCCGCACTGCCATTGCTCATGTCGTTGTGGATTGCACCACACTTGCTCGCGATGCCCTTTTCTTCTCATCGCTACATATCAGACACAGCTAATAACGAAATGATTGCAATTTTGTTGGCACGGCGAGCGAGCAAAAATGCCGCAACAGCAAGGTCAAGCGAGCGCAGGTCGACATATGCTGAACGCCATGCAAGCGCACTGCGTGCATTTGCTTGCAACCTCGAGAGCAGCCATTGAGGCTAGTACTCCAGTTTTATAACACCCTTGCTTCGTCAACTACAATTTTTAATCGGGCTAACGCCGTACATGATGAACCTCGCTGTACGAGTATGCGTTTAAGTGCAAACATACGCCCCTTGCTGTAGGTCGC